AGCCCACGCAGTGAAGAGTAGCCACCACTCACAAGCAGAGAGAGCCTGTGCGCAGCAAAGAAGGCCCAGTGCAGTCAAAAATCACTGAATAAAGTGGTCCATCTTTAAACAAGGAACAAAAACCAACTCTGTGCCTGGGGGTGGGATCTGCTCCCACACGGGGGGGAGGGGCACGTGGGCAGTGGGCTGAGGGCCCAGGAGCCAGGGCCAAGTGGCACGCGGCCTGGACAGGCCCCCACGGGGCACAGGTCCTTGTGCACGGCATCACGACACGCACCGCGACAGCTACCATTCCCACTGTGCGCCTCCTTTAGCTACGGTGCCAGGCCCGGGCCTGCCAAGCAGAGGGTCTTCCTTGTCCCCCGTCACAGGAGGCACGTCCTCAGGGGCCCCGGCGACGAGACAGAGGTAGGGGGGCTGCAAGCTCTAAGGAATTTGGGGTGGGGGATGGTTCCCCTGGTCATGTCGCCCCAGCAGGGACCTTCCTTTTCTCCCCTGCAAGCTCACAGGGGCCTCTCTCTGTCCCACTCCAAGTGGCCACTGAAAGTGTCATAGGGGCCCCCGCGGGGCATATACCAGCTCCATGGGAAAACTTGGACAGGTGACGTCACATCTTTGAGCTTCAAATCACCCATCTGAAGATGGGCAGATAGCACCCACAACATGGGACTCCATGGGAGATGCTAAGTATAGAATTTACCTAGCGGAGATGCTAGTGAACTGGAGCTCTCAGCCCGGGCGGGGAAGGTCCCTTTCCCTCAGCACCAACATGTATCTTACACCCCAAACACCTCCCCATCTGGGAGACTTAGCCCCCTGCCACCTCCCCTACTCAGTAAGGTGCTGGAGGGGGCTCTCCAGCCCCACCCTGCCCTCCCTGGCTTCTGCCCGGGACTGGCACCAGACCTATGCCAGTCAGCACTACAGAGAAGTTCTAAGCCAGTTGGCAAGCCCACCCGGTCCACTGTCCTTAGAGGCTTCCACGCCACCCGCGTACCTCCTGTCCAGCGTAGCTCCTCAGACACAGGCTCCAGAAATTCCTGAAAGTATAACGGAGCAGGATCCTGCGGGGTCTTCCTGAGACAGACCCCCTCCCTGTAGCCTCTGCTGCAGCTCCTCTCCAACGGCCCTGGGTAAAAGTGTCTGAGGCACACTTCCTGAACTGTTTCGCAGACGCTAAAACCACCACCAAATGGAAGAAATTAACTACCTGATGATCACGAGCAGGTAGCCCGCAGCCCCCAGACCTACTGGCGCCTAAGGATTGATAACGTTAACCCCTGAGACACCGCCCTGTTACCATCAGCCAGAGAATTGTGTGGGAGTTGATCTCTCACCCTGGGACGCCCCTCCCTCACCTTGTCTTTAAAAATGCTTTGCTGAAATCCATCAGGGAGTTCAGGCTTTTTGAGCACTTGCTGTCCTGAGCTCCTTGCTTGGCGCCCTGCAATAAACGGTGTCCTTTCCTTTCCCCACAACCCAGTGTCAGTCGATTGGCTTTACTGTGTGTTGGCAAGTGGACGCAAGTACACAGTGTCGGTAACAGAAGTACACGTCGTGTCACAGAAGCCCCCATGTACCCTTGTGCATCTAAGTGGATGCGTGGACAGGCCCCCTAACCTGCAATGGGGCGCTTCTGGTGTTTTCCTGCTGCTGTGTTCTTTGAACTTGTGAACGGGTTGTGGGGTCCTCACTTCTCCTGTCTTGGGGTTCAGACGCCTACCAGTCTCTCCAGCACCCTGTCTGCTTTCTGAACAAGGGCTAGGTCCAGGATCTTGGCCCCTTGAGGGCAGGGGCCAGATTTCACTGTGCTCTGGATCAAGAGCCTAACCCCTTTCTTACCCCAGAAAAAGTACCTGGAGAAATCTATCAGATCAATACATTTCACCCAATTTGGAGGGAGACCTAAGAGCCTTGGGGCCCAGGCCTTGCCCCCATTTCCTTATCTATGAAGCCAGGGTGCTTCTAGCCTCCGCTAGAGAGGTACTGAAGAGCAGAGAGGGAGTATGTACAAGTGCCTCCGAAACTAGCTTCTAGGAAAGCAATTGCTGTTTTCATTGAGGCCTCCCCAGAATAAAGACTCCTACCCTTCCCTCCTCAGTCATCACGTCAAGCTCCAACACCGCAATGTACTTTTCTCACTAGGCTAGCCCGAGAGGAGACCTAAGGTGGTTCTTAGGAAATACGTGTTTCTAGACTTTAAAGAAGATGTATTTGTGTGTGCATGTGTGTCTGGTTTCCACAGGATATTTTTGCAAAACCACACAGCGTAGCGATTGTTTTATGTACAAAGATAAGAAAGGCTGACCCATAAGCTAATTGAATCATGCAAATAACTGCTTAGCCAGGGGAGAGATTCCTACAGGCAGGCGGAGAGCCTGTGTGAGGGAGGACAGCTTTGAGGGCAATCTATTTTATAAAGTTTACTCTCCCAGTGTAACTGCCTCAAGATTAATGGGAACGGTGGCCCTAGACCTTGCTTTGCCTGGCTTGACCAACTGAAATAGTAAAACAGTTGTATTTATCAGAGACAATTTGCTGCAACTGATTAACATTAATCTGATTTCCTGTGAGTCGATTTCCTCGAGATATAGTAAACAGGCCAATTACCTGCTATCGACTTCTTTTATTACAAAGCTTTAGATATTAACGACAGATGTACATGTAAATACATAGAGTTTCTGACAATGTGAACAAAACAATGTTTAATCCAGCTAAAGGATTTCTAGTTGGTCTTACATCTTATCAGTTTAGTTTTCAAAGCTATGCTAAGAGAAGTTGTGTTTTTTTTCTGAAGCTCTTTTTGGACAAACTTTCCTTTGTTCTAAACTGGTATCTCACAGAAGTTATGACAGCAAAGAAGTGAATGTGACAAGACTGATTATTTATTTAAAAATGACCAAACAGGAGACTTCCCTGGTGATCTAGTGATTAAGAATTCACCTGCAATACAGGGGATGCAGGTTTGATTCCTAGTCAGGGAACTAAGATCCTACACGCCATGGAGCAACTGAGCTCATGCATCATAACTTGCATCCTTGCGCCACACACACATGAAAAGAGATACCATGTGCCCCAAGGCTCCATGCAGCCCAATAAATAAATAAAAATAAATATTAAAAAAAATTATGAAATCGGTCTTTGCATCCAGCAGATGCCGGATGCATCATTAGGTCAGGAGAGAGTGAGCTACAAGAATACACACAGACCTGGGCTCCAAGCATGGCCCTTGTTGGCCTAGGCCTTTGACTTTGTGGCATCTGCTTAACTTTTATGAACTGCAGTTTCCTAATCTGTGAAACTGCAGATGGTGATGGTATTTTCCTTGTGGTATTCTTAGAGCGTAAGTGTCAAGTGAGGACACCTCACAGTGGTCTGTCAGCCGACCTAGAGCCTACAGAGTGTGGTTAGCCACTCCAGCCTCATCTGGACTGGTCTCCAAGTCCCTCTAACAGGTTACACATTTATATGCTCAGGCTTCTAGGCAGGTTTTCTCCTCTGCCTGCACAGACTGACTCACGTGGTGGGATAAGAAATTTGCATCAACATTGAATCATGAAAGCAAAAAGTTTATTCATGTTTGAAACTACATATAACTACCACGAGGAAGACTTTTTCAATCCAGGGCGTAATCCAGTTAGAAAGGAACACGAAACGTTTTTTAATACATTAGAATCACCGCCACAAATTATTTTCATGACTCAATCAGTTTCAGAATCGCATACAATACAAAAAGAGAGAAAGGAGAGGGGGCCCTATTACACAGGGTGAAATATACAGTACTGAATACTGAAATCTGAATGCATCACAATTAGTCATCGCTTTTTTTTTTCTTTTTCTTTTTTGCATGGATTAGTAACAAGATGAAGAACATTCAAAATGCTTCTCAGTATTTACAACAGTTTTACTGATCCTGTGTTAAGACCCAATGTTTCCACTCTCGGTTTTTTAAAAGTTGCGAATGCAACCCTGATTTTTCTTTTAAAAGATTACAATGTACATTACATTTTATGAAGAGAAACAAAGAGTTAATTACAAGATGCAAAAAGATAAGAAAGAGACAAACTACAGCGTGAGTATTGTTCAGAGGTAGTAAGTGAGCACTCTAAGCTACAGAACATGTTGAAATTCTATTGGTTCGTATGAGTTCGCATGAGGTAATAAAGCTGTGTTTTGATTGGTGAGATGTATAAATACTCTTTTGCTACACTATATACAACACTCCAGAGAGCAGGGCCTTTGTGTGGATGCCCAGAGGACGTAGCAAACCTTGACAAGTCTGTGCAGCACCCAGCGCACACCATAAAACCCCCAGACGGATCTCGTGGTCACCTGTATCAGCAGCAAGGATCTTCATCTCTCAAAACAATCTGGATCCATAATGTCATTACCGAGCAGACTCTGGGCACTGGTGCTTTCAAAGAGAGAAAAGATGCTACCGGTTTCTGATCTAATTATAACATAAGAAATCGAAACACAAGTGTGACGAGGAAGATTCTTAAACACAACCATCATTAACAGTTAGCCAAACAGCTCCTTTATTCCAACTCCATTAGTGATATGAAAGAAGGACAATCCAAGTCTGCGATGGAAATATGCAAGAAGTTCAATTTAGGTGAGGTGAGTCTTTGTATCTGCTTTAACGATTGAGGTTTAGCATATATGGTACTTTTTTACCCTTAAGGCCAAGTAATTGGCAAGTGAGAAACCATTCATGTAAAATATTGATAATAAATTATGATAAAATAGCTACAGGACTGTCAACAATGTTAAACCTTGGCCTAATTGGATAAAGTGCTTTTTTAACATTGTGTGTTTTTTAAGTATAAATACAAATGATTATGATTCCTTAAAAAACAGATTTACCAAGTTCTCTAATAAGACAAGGTTTTACAGTAAAGCTGTAGATGGTGGGCTACAAAAAGCGCTTTCCTTTTCCTCCTATTGCTCTGAATGCACGGATCAAGGCATGTCAGCTCAGGGAAAAGTGTTGCCGGAGATTAGTTAGAGGTATCGGAGTGCACACTTCCTGGGCCTTCAGTAGGAGAAGTCACAGAAGATGGAGTTGTTGCGTCCTGCCAGCCTCCATTAGCCTGAAAGGAGAAGCACAGTTCATCGGTGCACGTCTCCATATTAATTCTACTCCCCGACTGAAAATACCCTGATGACAACATGAGAGCAAAGATGCATTAGCAAAATGTATTTTCTAAACCCACTTTGGCAGGAGTTTGAAGCATGTGTTAAAGTGGGATTAAATGCATGTAAAACAAATCCATCCTACCAAGTAAAGACTTGGCAATAAGTCAGCACACTGAAGGAGGGCTTCAGCTGGTCTGGAGCTGGCACCTCGCTCGGTCTTTGATTTGCTGGTAAAAATCAAGTGACTCAAAAAAAAATTAAAAAAACTTTTAAGAA